CAGAGACAAACCATCTTTAGACGATGGACATGAATCTTCTGACGGACAGGTAGGCTAATTTAATACATTAGATTAGAGAGAACCTGGCGACAAATGCATCAGTTGTAAATGTACCGAATATGATGCACGGATGAGAAAATTATCTTTGGAATCACCCATGGGAAAAACTAATCACAATGACATCTTTTCAATATCTCACTTGCTTCTCCTAGACAGCAACAACAGGCTCGGTATGACAGCAACTACTTATCATCTAATTCTTCATTAAAAATAATAATAATAATAATAAATATATATATATATATAAATAAAGGGAGGTTCAACATGAAAGCAAATACTTCTCAAATTCTTAAATAAAAAAAATAGGATGTTCAATATGAAAGAAAATACTTTTTAAATAAAATAAAATATCAAAGATCGATTCCTTCCAAAAATAATAAATCAAAATGAATTAAAATAAAATAAATAGGAAGTTCAATATCAAAGCTTGAGTCCTTCAATAATAATAATAAATAGGAGGTTCAATATGAAAGCAAAGACTTCTTAAATTCTTCTAAATATAATAAAATATGAGACACAATATGGAAACTAAAATTTCTCAAATATAAATAAATTACTTTTGTTTATTGCTTTTGTACTCTGTCAACAATGGTCTCATTTGTGTGAAACTTATCTCAATAATATCTTTAATATCTCAGATTTGATAGGTCTGCAATCTAAACTCAATATGTTAATTCAAGTTCTTCTAAGACTAAACAATCTGATCTGCTATCCACATTAATTTTGTAGTTGAATGTACTCTTAATGCACTTCAGCTATTGAATCGTTCATGTCTATGTTAATTTTAGGAGAAAGAACTGTGACAAGGATACTTAACTGAGAAAATGATCTACCCTGAGTTATGAAGGAGTCACCTGTGGACAATCAAATTCTCCTCTGGCCATTTCCACACTCATATTTCTACCCATGAAGCCACTGAGACTGAAACATTATTGTGTTTTTTTTAAATACAGAGACACTATCCACAGCTCTGTGAGAGATCATGATTCATTACAACGCCAGAACAAAAGTAAAACACCCTTTATTGCTCTGACCAAGTGTGTGGAAGGGGACTCTTTTTCTCAATAATCTGTCTAGACCCCCGACCGGTCCTGTTTATTCCACTTCTACTGTGTCCTCACGACTTCCCCAAAACTAGCACTCAAACAGAGCAATAAGGAGAAAGAGAGCGATCTGTGTTTCCCCTAGTTAGTCATTCCTCCCTTTACTGATTTAACTCAAACAACAGCAAGGCTAAATTACACATCTGCTCCAAACTGTCATAGTTTTCACTCCTTTTACTCAGAATATTGGCAAATCTAGAGGTAAAACATGTCATTATCTGTTGCCTTTCATTATCAAATTTAAAAACAGCCCCACAGTTTCAGGCCCGAATGGTTTTACGATTTTTAACACCAATGTCTTAGCAAATCGTCTCAACACTTTGGGAAAATAAAAGCCAATGCAAGTGACTCTGGATTCCTGGATTTTTCCTCTTACTGGAGTAGCACCTTTATTCCTCCTGAGACGACATTACAGGAGAGCACTTCCAGATGAATGACTCAGTCGATCCCCTGGGTGTCTGACAGGATCTAGGTCATCTTTTTACAGAC